AACCAAACTAAATGCGTTTTCAACACATGCGGGAGCACCCTAGTTTCGAGCTCAGGCCCGTCGCTACCGTGCAGATTGGCCAAGAAGGTCCAATGGATCCGATGCTACCTAGTACGTGGGCCCATGAAGGAGTCCACGAGACTTCTTGTGCATGAATAGGAGGACCAAGGCCCAAAGCCCAAGGCCCACCAGGATGGCCCATCGTTCGGGTACGGTCAAAGCATATATGTATGGTCGCTTTTGCTCTCAAATTCTTAGGCTACGCGTGGTCGACGTGGTATAGATCCTTGGATAGCTAAAGAATTGTCCTATCCGGTACTTTTGCGGTGTTTATTCGGATGGGATATGTCGAAATTAGTCGGGCGTAAGCCCCGATTAGGATTAAAAAAAAATGGTTCATAAGTAAGAGGGCTCGGTTGAGCTCCTGGCGACCATCACGAAGTGGTTGCTATTTAGAATGGTTTTTGCATATATTAAATTATTTCTTCATAAGCCAACGATATTGAAATGCTTGTCTCCACATGTAGAGTGCACGTGTTACTTCTTTCGGATCACGACAGCATGAGAAGAGTTCAATTCTAAAAATTCTTTGCTGACAAAAAATCCTAGCAAAATCAGTAGAAGCTTTCAAAAGAAATAGAGTTAATACCACAAAAAACTTCAAACTATGCATATCGTGACACAAATACCTCGATTTTTTTTTGTGTCACTTAAAATCTTAAACTTGCCCATTATGATATAAATACCCTAATTTTTTTTTTCCCCGAGAAATATAATGAAAGTAAAAGAAAATATATTTTAAATTTCGAGCAAGTATAGAAAAGGCACAAAGAAATAAAACAAGTAATAAGTAGAGAGAGAGATCGCATGATGCCTTGAGGACAAAGGAGCATGAAAGAAGGTGAAAGCTAAGGAAGCATGAGAGCTATGATCAAAAGTGTGTCAAAATTATTGTAAAAGTAATGTTAAGATAATCAAACTCACCTTTGTCCCTATTCCATCATTATTTTAATTGAACATCCGTGCTGTGATTCTTCTGGCTTTAGTTAGAAAAATAGAAAAAATATATCACTAGGAACTCCAATGTCATCCCAGATAGCATAATTAACAAATTACTATTTGGTTTCTCCATCTACGTTCGTTAGAGACATTTCAATCTTTCAATATCTGTAGCTCGAGACCATTGAACCAACCTTGGCAAGAGTATTAGTGATGGGACTCGGCACATCCATTTCAAAGTTCACCACACAAGTACGCAGTCGAACTTGATCGCATCCCGTACCCGATCAGGCTCGGAGAGTGCTTTCACTTTTTCGGGACATTATTTGGAGTACCATTAGCAAGTTGGTGATCAAGTAGTCTCTTTAGTAAGGGTGTTAATGAGTCAGGTCGGAATCGAAAATATACACAAGCGTGGTGGTTGGAATGCAAACCTTAAATGAGGAAGATGAGGATGCTTTTCATTGGAACAACCTCTTGAGATTATTCTTCTTTTCTTTTAACAAATAACGTGTCACAATAAGAATGAAATCTCAAGTGATACTTCCTTTGAAACTCCCTATTTAGATACATTTATATTAACGACATGGCAAAGCGAGTTTTGATTTTTTCTTAATAAACCCGATCATTGACAAAGATCTCTCAACTTCAAAGATTTCAAGTCTCGAAATTTTCCAATTCTCACGTCACATTGGACACTCATGACAGCAATCTCACATTCTAGCTTACATAGCATCGACACGACCCATGTTTATCTTCGGTGCATAACAACGAAATGAAGATGGCGCGAAAGGATATGAATTATGATCATAATTTACATAATTCTTGCTAAACATAAATCTCATATCTACACCTATGCATTGATCAAGCAAAAGTAATGATAAATGACAAGATCACTAAATTAGGAAAAAACATCCAAAATTTCAGCTTTTTTATATCATGAATGCTTGGTTGAATTAGCAAGACCGTCAGCCCCACACACTGACAATATAATGTCTGGTCCATTTTAGGCTTTTGGATCATTACAACTTTACTTACTATTTCTTCCCTTGGGTGTTTGTAAGATCATTTTGTTTTCTCATCATGTCCTGTCCAGTGTGCGATCCATCACAGCACTTGAGACTGACACGGAGACTGAGAAGGCCCAATTGGAGAGCAACAAGTAGATTCCAAAAATGACTTGGAAAAACAAAAAAAATGAAACATATCATCATTAAAATTCAACACAACAAAAGAAGAAAAAAAAAGTAGAAAAATGAAATGAAATAACTGGAACAATACTGACTAGTGAAGCAACCGAACTACCACCTGGGGACACCCGACAAAAAAAAAAACCCACGAAAGGACATTAACTTCAGTCCCATAAAATAGAAGAAATCTTAAATGGAAACATTGTGGTGGGGCTTGGCTGTTCCTCTCTTTTTCTGCTTTTCTTGTCACTCTTTTCCTGGAAAATAAAAAAAAGGGAAAAAAATCACCAAAAACTACAAACTATGTCACTTATGACAAATTTACCTTGAACTTTTTTTTGTGATACGAAAAACCCCAAATTATTTCCACATTATTTTTATATTTTTCTACATTTATCTTTTCCATAATATTTTCTTTAGGGCATTTTCATCTTTTTCCTTTTTCTTTTTTTTTCCTTTTTTTTTTTGCTTTTCTTCTTCTCTCTTCCCCCCGCCCTCGCCGGCGTTGGGGTTGGGCGAGGGCAGCTCGGCTGCCGGGCGTCGGCGAGGGTCGCTTCCGCTTCGACTTCCGTGCGAGGGCCGCCCGGCCCAACGCGCTCGGTGAGGGTCGCCCTCGCTAGATTGGGCGAGGCGCCCTTGCCCACCCCAACGCCGGCGAGGTGGCCCTCGCCGGCCTTCCCACCGCCGTAGTCGGCGGAGGGAAGAGAGAAGAAGAAAGGAAAAAGATGAAAATGCCCTAGGAAAAAAGTATTTTATGGGGTAAATGTGTCACAAATGGCATAATTTTAGGTTTCTCGTGTCACAAAAAAAAATTCATGGTAAATTTATCATAGGTGGCATAATTTGGGGTTTTTGGTGGTATTTTCCCTAAAAAAAATTAATTCTTGCTTTTGGAATTTTTCTGAAAGTTTTTTTGGAGAAGGAATCTCGATCGTCACTGTCGATAAAAAAAAGAGAGTAAATTTTATCCGTTGATTGTAACAATTTTAAATTTGCAGTTTATGATGTTTTGTATGAGAGTTATAATTCGAAAATTCAGTGTCTCAATAAAACCTCGGAACTCTCCTCTTTGTATCTACATGAGAGAAGTGGCAATTTTTTATAAGCATTTTTGTGAATTCATAATTCTTTTTAATCTTCGTTACGATTCTTCTATTTTTTTTCGCCAACTAGTAGAAAGAATAAAATTTCGCAAAACCATTAACCCGAATTACGAATTTTTCACTTGTGATTAGTTAATTTCTACTAAGATAATTATACAAATGATTTTTAAACTTTGATTTAATGTGCAATGTCATCCCTAAATTTTTAATTTATCCAATGCAGTCAATGGACTTTAACTCAAAGTGCAGTATCGTCCATCGACTTTTAATTTGTTCAATGTATATGAAAATATTCAACGTTATCCTTCCATTGATTCAAGTTCAAGAACAACATCGAACATTTTCACATAATTTGGGGACTAAATAACATGTATCAAAAGTTTATGGACCATATTGAATAAGTTAAAAGTTAAGGGATGACGTTGCATATTGAGCTAAAGTTCATGGACCTCATTAGACAAATTAAAAATTTGGAAAAAGACATAACACGTTAAACTAAAGTTTTATGGATTATTTATATCATTTTCTCTCTGGTCATGTAAGGCACTCCTTATCAGCCTTTAGAATTGTATTTGGAAAATCCTCACTCACGAGCTAATAACATAATAATGTCTTCTTTTTTTTTTTTGGTAACCCAGGGAACCCCCGCACGGCCGACAGCCGGGGAGTAAACCCTGGGGGCGACACGTGCTAGCCACGACACACGTGCCACCGGTTAAGTCACCCTGCGGCGCCCGGGATTCGAACACTCAACCTTTTGCGAGAGGAAGAGTGCGCGCTCCAGCAGCGCCACCCAGGCGGGTGGTATAACATAATAATGTCCCTGTCTTATGAACTCAAGAAAACCATTCGAAATGATACAGGGTTGTGTGTATATCACAATCACGATTATGTTCCTAAACAAAATAGATCGCGACGAGGCATCGTATTAATGATACTCTAGAGACGACATGAAACTCATGCACGGCTTATTTTTGAAATTTAATGCCGTGCCATTAGATCATAAATATGCTCTACCTGTGAGAGTACATAAGTAAGCGATAAGATTAAGATCACCTGCATCAATCTCATCACGTCATCCCGTAGGAAGCTATTGCTCGCAAGGACATGGCTTTACAAGGAAACAAAGAAAAAAAAATCAACATGAGATAAATTACAATTCGCTTAGTCCGTAAATTAACACCGGCAGTTAAGGTATTTCTCGTTACACGTCAATTATCTTATTTGATTGAAAAAAAAAAACCGACATTCGAAAAGTTCGTGCGAAAAATGACCCCGGCTACTTGTGAAAGATCGAGCTTTGGTATGTGCATCTCTTATTCGTCCGACTTTGGAGCTCAATTTCGCCGGCTCCTCTAGGACTCGTAGCAAGTTTACACTAGTAAATCATAATTATATGGCAAATGTTCTTCCGCACCGTGCTAGAGTTCTCGTGAAACTCGGCGCCCTTATGATCTTTCGCTATTGGATTGAAATGCAACAGATGCCTAGCTGTTCGAACGGACCTGGATCCGTCGATTTCATGGCGAATGTACGAAAGGAGGTGCGGCGCACGGACCGTATCCTAAGTTTCGAGCTGAAACGATCGATTTAATGGGAGAGGGAGAGAGGGAGACGCGCGCACAAGGAGACAGAGAGCCCCGTGCGCTGCAAACACGGACATTTGTTTACAACCCAAAAGAAGAGGAAGAAGAAAGAAGTTGAAGAAGAAGCAGAAGGAAGAAGACAGCGACATTAATGAGACTTCTCTTCTCTGAAACTCCGTCAGACATTGATGCTTCCCTGTCTCGCTCTTCTTCTCCTTTCCATCGCCTCCCCAAAACTTCCCTTCTCTCTCTCTCTAGTCGTTCTCTGTCTTTGATGCCGATGTCCCGGAGCTAAAGGACAGGTTATTAATCACCCAACGAGGACAAATTCCAAACCTTTTACCCCATGGCCACCACCACCACAGCTACCACCACCACCACCACCACCACAGCTACCGCTCAACTCAAGCTCCAGAACCCACCACCCCCCACCAAGCCCAAACGCCGCAAGTGCCGCGAGACCACCATTTCCGCCACGCCCTCCTCCTCCTCCTCCTCCTCCTCCGCCGCCGCCGCCGCCGCCGCCGCCGCCGACCGCCCTCCCAAGCCGGGCCCGCCGGTCGTCTCCTCCCCCCGCGACGACTCCTGGTGCTGCCCCGCCTCCAGGACCCCGCCGCCGCAGCCGCAGCCGCAGCGACCGTACCCGGCCCACGCCGCTCTCCCTCATCCCGGCTCGCCCTTCCGGATCAGGTTCTCCCCCGGGAGCCTGTCGCCGGTCATGGACTTCGCGGCGGCCCCCGCCAACGGCCACCCCCCGGGCGACGACGCCTTCGCGTCGGGGGGCTTCACGAAGTTCAACTCCGTGCTCACCGCCGGCCTCCTGAACCCAATGTCGCCTCCTCCGCCCGCGGCAGCGGCGGGGGCGGCCCTGCCCGAGAAGGCCCGATCCAGCCCGACCCTCTTCGAGATGATGGCCAGCGAACCCGACATGATCCACCCGAGGACGCAAATGCATGTCCCGGTTCACGCGTCGAGCGTGAGACCCCCCTTGCCCATTCTCGACAGGCAAGCCCTGACCTTGCAGCGAATATCGGAGGTCCTGGCCTCGAGGAGTCCGGGGAGTCTCTTCAACGACTCTGCTTCGAGCGACATTAAGCTCACGTTGAGCTCCAAGGATGGGGCTATTAGTGTTTCTATGAATGTGCATAGGGAGATACTTGTGGCGCATAGCCAGTTTTTCGCTGCGAAGCTGTCGGATCAGTGGATGAAGCAGCAGCAACGGACCGCGGCGGCGCCCGTCGTGGAGATTGCGGACTGCGATGATGTGGAGGTGTATGTGGAGACGTTGAGGTTAATGTATTGTGAGGATCTGAGGAGGAGGCTCATGAAGGAGGATGTGAGCAGAGTTCTTGGTATTTTGAAGGTAAGGCGTGATAAATTTGCTTTTATCATATTGATTTTGTTGATTTGGTTCTTAAAAAAATTTAGTATAGAGAGGGAAGGAGCTAGAGTTATGTGGTCTTGAGAAATGTAATTATGTCATAGCATTTTGAAGCAGTTGAAAGTAAAATAATGTAAATTCAAATGGTTGTTGGTTTTATCACATTGCCTGTATTATAAGCGACTCAGGTTGTTAGTAAGGTTATTGGGAGCTTTGAATGCGATGGTTTGCTTAATTTTTCTAGGTTTCAGCGGCAATTGGTTTTGATGCTGGGGTGTTATCTTGTTTGGAGTACTTAGAAGCTGCTCCATGGGCCGAGGATGAAGAAGAGAAGGTGGCTTCTCTACTATCAAATCTTCGGTTTGATGGGCCCGCAACTGGCGAAGTTCTGAAGAGGGTCTCTATGGAAGTTAGTAATGGAGTAGTTGCGGGAAACGACAATGAGGAAGTGTTGCTTAAGCTTTTACATGTGGTCCTTGAAGGAAAGGATGAAAAGGCGAAGCGGGATATGAAAGGGTTAGTGGCTAAGATGCTTCGAGAGAACTCCTCTCAGAGCGATATCCGGAAAGAGTCTTTATACACTGCCTGTGATGGGTGCTTGCAATTGCTTCGCAAGCATTTTCTGCTAGCTGCAGAATCAGAGTTGAAAGATGTAGCTCAGATTGCACGGCAGGCCAATAATTTGCACTGGCTCTTGGATATCTTCATAGATAGACAGATTGCCGAAGACTTCCTCATATCTTGGGCTTCTCAATCTGATATGTCCGATGCGCACCCCAAAGTTCCGGTGGTTCACAGATTCGAAGTTAGCAGAGTTACAGCGCGGTTGTTTGTGGCGATTGGGAAAGGGCAGCTTTTGGCTTCTAAAGATGCAAGGTGCATGTTATTGCAGACATGGTTGGTTCCGTTCTACGATGATTTTGGGTGGATGAGGAGGGCGTCCAAGGGTCTTGATAGGCACTTAATTGAAGATGGCCTTAGCAATACGATTCTCACACTGCCTCTAGCCTGGCAACAGGAAATAATGATTGCTTGGTTCGACAGATTCTTGGCTTCAGGTGAAGATTGTCCGAACATCCAAAGAGGTTTTGAAGTTTGGTGGCGAAGGGCTTTCTGGAGGAGAAATGGCGACCAGCAGCAACCGCGGTTGCTACAAATTACTGCAGGTACTGCTGAGAATTCATAAATTGTTTATCTTGAATGAAGACTCCTTCTCAATAGGTATATCTCAGCTCTTTCGTTTGATTATCATGCTTCCAAATTGAGTGCTCTGTTTCTAAATTTACTCTTTTTATCTCATGAGAGTCTAACAAGATTATTAGCATCTTCAATCCAGCTGCTTTAATGGTATATTTTTTTGTGTGATAAAATTGTGTTCCATCCCATTTCTCCAATGACAACGGTGTCACTTCTCTTCCTTTAGGAGGATGGTCTTGTTAAACTTATTCCAGTGGGCTTTTATAACATGTGGGGGATGGTTGTTTCGCGTGGTTCAGTTGGAAACTGGAAAAGATTGAACTCAATCGCAAGTAGTTGGGTGACAGACTAATAACAAGAAGATCCATATTATGGTGTTGGTGAACTTTTGTTGAATTGGTGGACGATTAACTTCTAGGTTGCTGAATGATGAACTTACAAGGCCATATTAGTTGATCCTGGCCGATAGTCGGCACTTTCTCCCAATGTCATATGCTCATTTGACAGCTTTTGTAGACTAATGATCATGATAAAGTGCCATAAAATATGGAAAGTTACCTTCTTGGCATGTGCCTTCGGTGACTTGGTTTTAAAGTGTAAAAATTTCATCAGTGACTTGGTTCGATTTAGGTCTGTTTGCCATTTCTTCCTTTAGATTCTACTGTTTTTGTCAATCTGATGCCGTAACAAACTAGCTTGGCATATAACTAGGGTTGAATTTTCAAATTTTTTGTACATTCAGGGACAAGGTACTAATAGTCTGAGATCAGTGCGCCGAGCCTATGCGTTTCTTTAGTTATTGTGAACTCTGCTAGAGTTCCAAGGAGTGGATCACACACTAGATATCTTAACTTCAATTGCGTGACCTGTTGAGGCTGTAAATGGAGGTGCAGGGTTCTCGAAGTCAGGATGATCGGTTTGGTACGCTCTTAGATGAGGTTAGGGAACATTGCTCTCTCCCGGCTTGGGATATGTTAACCAGAGAGTGTAAGTTGGTTGCCAAGCAATGTTCAGGATATTTGTTCTCAGACATGGTTTCAGGGTGTAGATAGCGGAATCTAATTCCAGGTGATATATGTAATATTTGTTGCACAATATGGAGTTATTTGTTTGTCTGGATATTTGAGTTTCTCTGGAAAATTATACCATTAACTTCTGTCTTGCCGTTGTGGGAAGAATGCATTATCATATTCCGTTGCAGTTCTTGTTCTAAATTAAGTATGGTCCGAGCTTTTAGCTGGCAAACTCAAATGTATGTTTTGTCGATCGAGTTTTTTGTCTTGTTCTTCTGGCGGAAACTACTTGGTATGCTCTGTTTTCAGCAAGAAAAAATTTCTCCTGCGATGGTATGCATGTTACTTCCATCACGAACCTATAATTTAGAGGGACATGCTCTTGACATTACGCAAATTCACTGTCCGTGCATCGGACAACTGTAGGAATGCACTTATTCTCGTGTAGCTTAATAATCAATAGCATGAACAGGATTTCCCTCCATCTGATCCTGATATTCCTATTGATACTGGCATGACTACTAATGTGTTGTTACATAGTTAATTTTTCTTGTGGCGTAGCAATTTCGGCACACCACAATCGAGAGATCTGTGTCTGCCCTCATATTAATCCCATGATTACAATCAGCCTGCGCTTCGATTGTGGTCCACTCCACGAGTTGCTCTACCTTCCACCTTTTCTCCGGCTGACTTTGCTCGTGTGTTTTGCTCTAGCTATCAACCCTCTCGTTTCCAAAGTGAGTGAAGAACGAATTCAGCATAGGGCAGTCGTAGTTCAGCTCACCCGGCTTCGCGTATTTTTGCCTGAATCAGAAACAAAGAAATTCTTAGATCAGTACTGGATGGATAAGAACTTAAAAGAATTTATGATTTTAATGTCTGTTTTCTCATTACCATTCTTGATCAGCCAACATGTCCTCTGTCAATCCAAACTTCCTCAGCTCTTCCTCAGTGTGATGCACTAGCAAGCTATATCTGCACCGGGTTCGGGGGTCGTTTTAGTTTTGATAGCTTATATATATTGAGCGACTCCAATAAAGCACAAAAAGCAAGAAATGCTCTGTTTCAGGACTGTTGAAAAGATTACCTTCCACCATACCCTCTTTCCATCACAATCATTTCACCATTGCCCAGATTATTGAGGCGTTCGAATTGATCCGTGGTCCACTTGTACCACCTCATCAGGAAGACCCGCAGCGTGAGTCCATGCGACACGATCACCAGGTTCATGTTCTGGCTCCACTCCCCCGGCGGTTGGAACCGTCCTATGTCAATATCGGCCCTTAGAGTTTCTCTGAATCCTGCTTTCACCAGTAAAAGTTACCTCAATATCATTTTTCGCTGTTTCCAGGAAATTTTAAACCGAGTAAATTTGATGGGGGGCAGAAAGAGAAGAAATACCAGTAATTCTATCATAAACATCTGCTGCAGATTCTCCATCAGGAAATCTGTAGAAGAAACGACCGTACATTATTCTCATTTGTTTCTCAACTCTCATCTTCTCTCTATCCTGGAAATTCCCTTTCAAATGAAAAAGAAAACAATTCAAGAAACTTAATTGAATTGAAGCTGGTTTTGAACAGCTGTGTTTTGCAACACACAAGAGGAACTCAAGATTTGTTTACCAAAATCTTGTTCTCTTAGACGAGTCTCTTCTCTCATGCCAGCAATCCTTGACCTCTCAAAAGCCCTGCCTAAATTCCTCAGAGTCTCTAGGGTTCTTTTGTAAGGTGACACATAGAAGTAGACCTTCCAATCATCTGCTCCATCTTTCTCAATCATCCCTCTTATCTTCCAACCAACTGCCTCCGCTTCGGCCTTCCCTTTGTCAGTGAGGCTGATCTTAGGATCGGCAACCCTTGTGTACACACTCTCATCTACATTACCTGCCAGTGTTGTACATAACTTGATCATTACAAACTCGAGATGCAAAATGACAATTTAGCAGCAGCGTTTTGCTTTTTGTCTTCCTAATTGTCCTCCTGCTGCAATTGGGAGCAATAGAATCTCACCCTCTTGTCTAAATGGGGTCATGCACTTAACATTTTGTACTTCAGAGTCAGACTCTTCATTAAATCCAACTCTCATACTGTCTCGCTCGAACATCCTAAAATTGTGAGTGCAGTCTCCATGATTTTACCACGTCAGGCACAATACCCTCATAGTTCATGGGTACAATGCGACATTCCTCGAAACATAGAAAAAGGGGACAATCACACCCTTTGTTCTGGTCAAAATTAATAGACACATCTTACTCTTTATAACATGTGAGAAGTGTCTGTCCTGCCATTCTTATCTTTCTCAGTTCTTTCTAATGCAGATGCAGTCCACACCTCTATACACTAATCATTAGTGCAGGCTTTGCAAACGTAAGGACAACATGTTAAACAGATAAATTGCTGAACTTTTTAGCCAAATCCAATGTAATTTACCTTCGCTCTGGCCGTGCCGGACCAGAATGATGCGGCGAGGCCGGGGGGCCGCCGAGGCGACCTGGCGGATCAGAGGGTCCTTCTCAGGGAAAGTGGCCTTCCCGTTGGCACTGCCATTGCTGTTGCTAGAGATATCGATCCTCTGAGCACTACAATGGACGGCGTTGAAGCAGCAGATGACTCTGCGGGAAAGAGGGCAAGAAGAGGCCGAAGATAGCTTCGGGTGGAGTGTGGTCATGTCGCTCTTGGGTGAGTAAAGAATGCAGAGCTGGACACACTCGACAATGAGAAGAAGATGATGATGATGAAAACAAGCTATTCGGCAATTGCACTGGGAAGTCAGTAGTCCCTAGTCATTGGTTGTGCATCTGTGTTTCTAAGTGTTTATGGCTGCAGAGTGTTGACACAAATTCTTGTAGGAACAAGGACAAAGAGTGCAGGGTGGTTAGAGCTCGTGGGTGTTTGCAAATGGGGACGATGTTGTTGCACCTTCTAGTCCTAGTAATCTGTCTCAAATCCATCAGTTTTCATGGACGTGACTGAACTTCGTCACGACCTTCTCACAGAGAGAGAGAGAGAGTTCATTGCCTTCACAGCCTCCAATTCTCATAGGGCAAAGGTCAATTTCCGTCGCCAACTGCGGGTGAGGACAAGCAGGCATTGAGACCTTCGCGGCCGATATTATCTCATACTATATGAATGGTGTCAAATTTTCCCTCCAATTTTCGACGGTTTTCTTCCTGCCTTCGGTCCACCTCATACAATTTTTGCAATCTTGTCATGGCAACTTATGGCTTATGCAATGTCTTTTTGAGAATGTCTTTTTAAAAAAACTTATGGCTTATGCAATGTCTTTTTTGAGAAAGGGATAAATGTATTGGAAGTCCTAAAACTTATCACAAAAGTGCAATTGAATCCCAAAACTTTTAAAAAGTGCAATCAAATCCTAAAATTTGTCACGAAAGTGCAATCGAGTTTTAAAACTTGTCACGAAAGTTCAATTGAGTCCTAAAATTTTCAAGAAGTGCAATTAGTGAAAGGACATGAGTGGACCAATTTGACAAATTTTAGGATTTGATCGCACCTTTTGAAAGTTTTAAGTTTCAATTGCACTTTCGTTACAAGTTTTAGGACTTAATTGCACTTTTTGAAAGTTTTAAGATTTAATTGCATTTACGTAACAAATTTCAGAACTTCTAATGCACTTATCCCTTAACGAAATGTCGAGTCAAGCCCACTTTATTTCGGGGCGATTCAGTGTGCAGGAGTAAACCTATTACATCCGTCGCGCCTATAAAAAGTTCAAAACTGTAATCAAGTGGACCTCGATATAACACCAAGTCTCACTTAGTTTAACCTACCACGACCGTATCGCGACAAGTCTATCCTACACTTTGTTTTAGGAAAGGGCCATGTGTGCTTTCAACTCGTGCAGTTCTTGCTATCCAATCCTTCATTTTCTTCGTTTTGGGTTTCCAAAAAAAATGTGTCGAGAAAAATAAATCCTGTATTTCGAAAATGGGTGACGACCCATTTGATTTTTCTTTCTTGGGGGGTCCATTGTAGGTTCGAAACAAGCAACTTTCTTGGAATGTAACAAGGGCCTTTTGGGCCTCTCTCGGGCCGGTTCTACGGGCCTCCGAATAGAGGGACCCGGCTCCGTCAACCGGACCGAACCGAACCGAACCGAAATTCACGTCCTCCAAACCGGGATCTTGCTGAAACTGCATGGATCTTTAAGAAGAGGGTACGATTTGTCACGGAATGCATACAGCTAATCCAACATGCTGTAGTCCAGATTAAGAATAATTTTCCTCCGTAGCTTCCGTATCAAGGTAGGCTAGATTTGCGCGTCCATCCCCAGACTAAAGCACGTGTACAGAACTTAGATCGATCGAACTCAAACAAATCTGACTTTACGAATGAACAATAATTGAAATGTAGATTGAAAGCCGAGCAACCTTATAAGTTTTTCATATAACAGGTCACACTGTCCCATCTTCATAGTCGTATCCAAGTTGGGGAAGTTGCGACTTGGGACCGGTCCGACACGCTCGTTCTCCTCATACAGCTGTGTCATCTTGAATGGACCAGGCCGATATTTTTTCATTTGGTCAATCGGGTCAATCGTAAATAATTGGATGCTTCGCGTCTGGCCTCCCCAATAAATATTGATTTGTGCAAATGAGATTATGTTTAGAAGAGGACGCGGTTGGTTTTCTAAGCCTGCGTTTGGTAATCCGGATTTGAGTCCGGATAGGATAACAAATTATCCTATTCGATGTTTGGTGATGTTCTCTCCGGATCGGATAAATTCGGATAAAATGCCGGATATGAAATCCGGCCTAAGGGATGGGATAACACCGGATTGGATATAAAATTTAAAAATTACTAACAATTCGTATTTTATCTTTTAAAAGAGTGATAAAGTGACGCTTCGCATATTGCTTCGCCCGCACCGCTTGAACGAAGACCATCACCAAAATTACCTATCATCGTCACTTTTAACCACCGCACAATCACCGTCACCTTCGACCATGCTGGTCATCATCGCCGGCTGGCGATTGTGATCCGACGAGTAAGGGTGAAAAGGGGTCTAAAGACGACCGTTGTGTCTGGTTTGCATAAATCATCCTTTCCATCCTAGTCACATATGTCCTTCATGTCAAGCCGGCCTTTCACGCATGACTCATGAGCCGGCTGTTCATCTGCTGGTCGACGACAAATGGTCAGCACATCATTTGCTTCTTGGCAACCACGCTATCAAGCGTTGAGTTCCACCTGCATCGTGGTGTGAAACCTCCTTTGCGGGCCCATCCCACAACGCGCACCTTCTCCAATGTTGCCTCTCTTAGCAACTCTCTTTGGCAATGGAGTCTGGCCGCACAACCCACAAGAAGTGCCCCTCGCTCTTCACGAGGCCATCCCAAAATTATGTGAACTCGTGTCGATTGAGAGACGTCATGCTCCCGAGGTTGACTTCCCAGAGACGTGGTCGAGAGGGTTTGAGTCTGGTGTACAGGAGGAAGAGCAAAGTTGGTGATGGTATTTTCAAAGATTTTTAAAGATTTTCAAAAGAGAAAGATTTTCAATCTTATCATCAGTTGCGAATTCTCGAAAATTTTCAAAGATTGTTTTCAAATATTTTAAATCCTTTCGTAGGTTCCACCAAACATATGATAGGATATTTTTACAATCCGAGGATGTGCGGAGAATTTTAAACCCCATTTATCCTATCCTATCCCAATTCGAATCTGATCGATCAAACGCAACCTAAAGGGATAATGACATAAATAATTCACGAATTTTGACCCAATGTGCAAAGTGGTTCTTAAAGTTTAATTTGTTTAATATGATCTATAAGCTTTTGGTACGTGTTCGAGTTAGTGTTCGATGTTATCATTTCGTTAATTTAAGTTCAGAGACAGAATTGAACGAATTAAAAGTTCGGAGACGACGTTACATATTACCACGTTGAACAAATTAAAAACTTAAAAATCGCATTACAAATTGAATTAAATTTCAAAAATCATTTACGTCATTTTCCCATTTCTAGACCATTGATTAGTGGGTTGAAGCGTCGAACGAAGCCTGCATTCATCGATGTCCCGATGATTGCTGGTGCATGCCAACCTGAAGGAAGGCCCCCTGGTCTACTCCGACACCCATTAATTTCCTTCGTTCTTGATCGAAGCCACCGACACTTTTCTTTTGCACAATTGCAATCAGTGACAACAGGAGAGCAGCAGGTCGATGGGTCCCGCGCTCACCCACTGCAAAGAGACTTTTATCGCTCCGGGCGACGGACACCACATGATTGGTCCATTTTGCGTCCTGGCCAAACCTGTCACCGCGGGACTCGACCTCATCGAATTTTTACCGTTCGCGTGTCGGTCGGTGCCGTCACGTGAGTGAGGATACGACAACGGATCCGGCGGTCGATGCCCGGACATGTCCCACCACCGAATATGTCCATCGACGTCGACGTCGGAAAAGCACGCCCCTGTTTTTCGAGCAAAGAGCAGTTGAGCGATCGAACTAATGTAAATAAGAGAGAGAGAGAAACGGGCGTCGTTCCGGCTGCATCGCTTATCGCTTTGTCCTGGAATCCGGTCCGACCGAGCTATAACATCACGGAGATTGGATAACAAAACAAAACTTGAAAAAGTCGACCGGGGTCGATTGGAAAGACCCCTAATAATTTACCTCAATTATTTGAAGAATGTTACCTTTTAACCAAACGCCAAAAAACAGCCCCCGATCAAAAGGAAAGAGAGAGAAACGGGCGAACTATGTCTCCTCGGCCACATCGCTTTGTCCGGGAATCCGATCCGACCGAGCTAAACACATCGCGAAGATTGGATAACGAAACAAAACACAACACGAAAAAGCTGAGGGGGGTCCGATTGAAAAGACCCCCTAACAGTCCTTTGGAATCTAAGGCGCCACAAGCCATGGATCGCCATGCCCCACGCACTTTGCTGCTCGACAAAGGCAAATTTAGTAATCGAAACTGTCACTTTCTTAAAGGGTATACGAAGGGTGTACGTGTAATCTGCGGCCTTTTGTACATTGATAAACATGCTTGTTCCTTCCCTAATTGACAAATCGTGTCCACTTGAGGAGGGGAAAGGGGGGGCGCTTACAAAATTGGCAACTTGATGAATAATCAAAATGGGGGGAGGGATGTAATTAAACAATTTGGGGAGAGGGAAATAGAATTTGGGAGAAAGCTAACCAACTTCCTAAGGAACCCCACGAACTGTTCTTTGTTCAGATTTCTTTTTGCCCCTAGATTTCGCTGATCTCGCCTTCCCTACATGCGCCGACGTCCACCACCATGCTCCCTTTCCGCTTCGAGCTCACGACCCAGCAACAGTTCCTTCTCGGCGACTGCAAAGGACAGGCGAAAAGTGAACGAAAGTTAAGAGTCGTCGATTACACGCAGAAGTCCGTAAATGAAGACAATTAAGCATAGAAAGGTAGTACTAATAAGTGGTTTTACTTACTCTATCCCACAAGTTGGGGTCGGGCTTCTTGCGGACCACCACGTAGTCCAGGGCCTCCGGATTCGCCATCTTCCACTTGCAATGCGGATTGGGCACACGGTGCCGGAGGTACTCGCTCACCGTCCGGTTCGTCGACGAGTCCAGCCTAGCGTTCGACAGGTAGAACACAAAGGGCTTCTGGCACGGGTTCCGGCTGACCGGCCGGGTGTTGAACGCGTACGCCGTGTAGTCCGCCTTCCGGTACCAGTTCAGGAACGTCCTCGAGGGCATCTCGACCTCCCGGGGCGAGAACACGCCCCGGAAGACCTGGACCGCGAACCCCCACGACACGGACACGGTCCAGCTCCGCGCCTTGTCGTAGCAGATGGACTGCTGCATCAGGCCAGCCGAGTCGAGCTTCATCGGCACCGTGAGGCGCTGGAGGGCCTGGACCCGGGTGACGTTCGGGAAGATGGGCTCCACCACGTCGAGGTGGTGGAGGGAGACCAGTGGGGTGACCGGGTGGGCGGCGAGGAGCCCGAACAGGTTGCCATACACATCGTACTGCGAAAAAACGTTCAGCTATCAAGATCAACTCATTGAAATTATATCATTACAAAGTCGAGATTGTGCTGAAACATTAATTGCAGCTAATAAGAGAATCTACCCGACAGAACGGTCATGTTCCCGCTAAATTCCTAAACCTCGACCGTGAATGCAGTAATTTTCCCTTATTATATTTGTTTTTATTTTTTTTTTTGGGGGGGGGCCAATATTTTATTGGCATGTGCCTAGGGGAAAGCGACGACCGACAGTCCCAAAGTGTTGACTAGACGTTGACTGCTTTCGGGGCGGGGTCCACATTGCAAAAGAAAGGAGCGTGCACCTCACGTGCCCTCGGTGCGCGTGCGGGTTGGGCCCAAACCTTGTCCGCGTGGGGGGCCCGCCCACCACCCGGGGGCCCCCTTCCTAGGAACCTAGGCACGGGCATCATTTGAGGCTAAGACCCCCCCGTGAAAGAAAGGGTCTCAGAAGTCAGAACCCCCCTTGTACCCCAGTACAGGACCAACCTGACAAGTTGTCGCCACCGCCCCGATGGTTAAACAAATCATCAAATTTCATTTGAATTTTGATTCGAATCTTAATCTTAATTATGAAAATGGGTTCGAGATTTCACGAGCCGAGCGCTATCCTTTTGACTACCGCCATGCATCGCGACCGATCAGGCGGGTGCGCGAAATAAGCGCGGGCACGACCGTCCGAACCTTCTCCGGCCCCGAAGTACCCAACAAAAAGCCCTCGACCGACGACGACGACCCGGTACCGACACTAGCCAAAGCAACAACGTTGCGCGTTGGCCCCCACTAGAAGAGGAGGAATCCCCGCCTTCAATCACTGAGTTCTCGCACACCCGCCGCAGATACGTCTTAATTATAAGACAGTGAAAAAGTCAAATCTCTAACTAACCCGGATTAGAAGTACACTAAAACAGGACCCCCCCCCCTAAACACGTTTTCAAACCCATCATTGTCATTGAAGGATCGCTGACCCCGGTTCGAGAAAAAAGACCCCTCATCGACCGAAACCGGACGAAAAGCTGAGGGGGCGCCAACAACCGAGTAAAACCAACCCAACAAACCCACGAAACCACACTTTCGATCAATACGACGCCAGTGGTTAGCGGACGCACTTGTCTTAATAAAGTAATTCGCAAATTGCAATGCGTCGATGTAGACATAGTGTTTAGCTATGATGACCTATTTTAATGATCCGATTATCTTAATTATGTTAATTCTATGATTTAAATTAATCAATCTTATCATGGTAAGAAGCAAATTAAAGTAAATGGGTCGATCTTGCGTCCCGTGTGTCTAATCTCTACGTGTGTTAAGTCAAGTTACTTTTCTACGAATGAGCATTGAACTAAGGCAATGGGAAGAAACGTTGAGGATGCACACCTGGTGAAACCCTAGCTCCTTGGTGAGGGGCACGCCGAGCTCGGCCATGCACGCCTGGATCCGGTCGTCGGAGCCGTAGAGCCCCGGGTACCGCTGGATGCACCGGTCCTGCACCCGCTCCAGGGCCACCGCGAGTGGGTAGCTGATCGCGAACCCGCCGCCGCCGTAGGCCATCCCGTACGAGAAGTATATGTTCTGCAGGTGGCTCTCCGACAGGCTCCCGATGTAGTAGTACTGCCGGTGGTCGTACTTCCGGAGCACCCGGAGCAGGTTCTCGGCCACGAACACCGTGTCGTCGTCGCCCATCACGAACCACCGCACGTCCTTCAGGCCCAGCCGGAGCGTCTCCGAGACGATCCGCGAGATCCGCAGCGCCGACCGGTGGCCCTGCCGGTTCGTGTACTTGAACTTGGAGGTGTCGCCCGAGATCTTTACCTGGGGGAGGCCATCGCCGGCGCGCGTCGCCACCGCGCTGTCCAGCCACACTATGCCTCTCATCTCCTCCGGCTTGAACCTGCGGAAAACAATCGTCGGTGGCGATGAGTGCGAGTGAGTGTGACGATGGGCAGGAGCTGAATTGAGGAAAGTTTCCAGAAGAATGAAATGAACAGGAGCCCGATTAAGAAAAACAACAAAAGAAGAGCTAAATTTGGGAAAATGTAGGTGGATGATGATGAATCAAATTCGTGTTCAGATTGGAATTAACCAATCTGAGGTTCTTCCGGTGCTGATTCTGCGACATTTTCCGTGCACATTCCATAGTTCCGACCAGCTAAAAGTTTTTCGGGGGAAAATAATGAGCTGATTTCGAGACGTTTTCGTCCGAGTGTGGAAGCCCACAAGGACTGATCAACCAAAAGCAACGACGAGCTCGAAATTTCTGGCAAAAAATCTTTGTAGTTACCACAGCTTGATGTAGTTCTTCCTCTGTTCCCAGAGATTGGCCGACGCGGCGATTCCGAACACGATGTGCCGGAGCTCCGTCCTCTGCTCCGATTCGGCGAGGGCCGTGCCGCTGCGAGCCGGCAGCGAAGAGGAGGGAAGGGTTGAGTTGGCGGCGGTGGCGGTGGCGGTGGCGGTGGCGGTGGCCGACGAGGAGGAGGAGGAGGAGGAGGCGAGGTGGTGGGAGGTGGAGAAGGGCTCGTCGTCGCCGCAGGCACGGGAGGAGGAGACGAGCTTCAGTGTGTAGACGACGTAGGTGACGGACACGAAGAGGATGAGCCACACCATCAGCCTCGGCAGCGCCCGGGCTTGCGAGCCGCCGATGCCGGGCACGGCGGTCGGAGTCCCGGACGGCGGCACCCTCATCTGGTCCCAGAAGGCCAATCGCTCCGAATCCTTCTGGGTCACCTTCATCTTCCCCAGAAAGAACAAGAACAAGAAGCTGCACTCAATCTATCAATGCCGCCGCCGGTGCATTCGCTCGGAATCAGGGGTTTCGCATTGTAGCGGGGGGGCCGTCAGATTTCGTGGGTCTTCGATCGGATTCGGGGAGCTTCACGCCGGCGGCTTCAGGAATCGATTGACGGGAAGAGACGATACGAAGAGATGAAGATGAGCAAGCAGAAAAAAAGTAAGGATTCGAGTGACGACGACGACGAAGACGAGGAAGAAGAAGAAGAGGAGAGTTGCAGAAACAGAGAGAGAGAGGGATAGAGAGAGAAAGAGACGAGTTAGAGAGAGAAATGCGTTGTTGCCAGGTTGCAGGACCGCCCGCGATGGAGCTTTATGCTCAGAAGATGTAGAGTTACTGATGATATTAAACAAATAAATAATTTCGAATGCGAATCGATAAGATATGCTTAAATTAGAGATTTATACGGATTAACGGGTTTTAGCTGCATGGGCCGATCAAATCTGTCATTATATTTGAACACCTTTAAAAAGTAAGTTGTATTCAAAATTTCTCGTCTCACTTTGGGATACTTTATCTCGCGAAAAACGAACTGTTCGAAAAATATTTTCTTAAAGATAATCGCTTGTATTACCAAATGAAAAAAAAAAGTTTTCATTATCTACGAAAATATTTAAATTTTAATTTTTATCGATAATAAAATATTATGTATCGACTTGATCGACATTTTATAAAGATATTCTTTGAATCGTTGTTTTAGGAAAAATTCAAAATAAAGGCCTGAACTGCTTTCATTTTCTTAAATAAAAACTCGAAGCGAACCTTATTTTAAATAAGAATTGAAGTGTCCTCATTTTCTCAAATAATGACCTGAAGTGGATATTGTTTCAAATTAGAGCCTGGCTTTCCGGTTAGTTAAAGAGCATTTTCATCCTTTACTTCTTCTTTTTTAAATTTTTTCCCCTTTTTTCTCTCTTTTTTTTTTCATTTAGTGGCCAGCCACCGGCAATGCCCGAAGAGGACATGCAAGGGATGGCCTTGACCGACCAGAATATTTAGCCGGCCGGCAACCGGTGAGGCCAAGCCCTTTTTTAAAACTGCCATAGTCACTTCATACCTTTATTTAAGACTGACATGTTGCACGGACCCTTATTTACTACAAGATTCATTTCAGGATCTTATTTGAGAAAATGAGGGTGCTTCAAGCTCTTATTGGAATTTTCTCGTCTTTTAACATATATAGCTTTAGATTAACCCAATATTTCTTTTGCTAGAACGAAAGTAATAAAAAATCGCGTCGTTGTCCGGGTCTTTATTTATTTATTTATTTATTTCATTTTTTGCTTAGGCAAGGGGGATGTTTTTTTGCCAGCTGTGGGTGGAGGCGGGTGCAGACCGGGGTGGGGTGGGGTGGGGGGGGGGGGTCCCCATTTGCCACGTGGACGGCGACGGTGATGCGTGATGACCGCCGCGCTGGAGCCCACAGCGCACCGCACCGCGCAGGAGGCCCGGACCCCGTGGCGGTCAGGTCAGCAGATGCAAAGATGTCGTGTAGCGTCACCTCAAAGCCATCCATCGAAGAGGTCCGTCGGTCGCGCTAGACCCACCCGATCGACGGCCCCGATCCGCCGACCGTCAAGTGGGGATTTGGAATGGATCCCGATCTAACTCCGCAAAGCATCTCTCACGTGAATGTGACGACGATCATTTTTCTGCTTTTCTTCCATTATTGTGACGATCATTTCATGGGTGTTTTTTTCTTCTTTTCTTTTTTGGCAAATTAGTGTCGGACTGATTCGCCGGTTTAATTTGGGATAAGCTTATTATGGCGGGTTTTTATCGGGGCACGTCCCGTGAAGTTTGAGAATTGCTCCGATCCTCCCCCTCGGCCCGATCTCGGCTCCTATTATTTTGAGGTCGTCACATCGATTTGGTACCGGTTTCGCGACTCGTACCGATATGGCAAGTTGAGTTTTCTTCTAAAAAAATAAAGTATTGATATCTCCTTATGCTGATGTATGATTTCTCTTTTAAGAGGAAATATTGGGCGGTTTTCGAGTGTCGCATCACCGGCTGATGCGGGATGCATTTATTCACTTCGAGCCAATTAAAAATTGACATGTATGTATTGACTTGGAACTAGATAAAAAAAATATTTAAAAATCTCTATCCATCTCTCTCTCTTCCACTTCCATTTGCCATTGCGGCCGCCATGAGCGTACACCGGCGGAGTAACCGGTGGAGTCGCCATGAACCTCGCCTTCAAGGCTCATGGCCATGGACAATGTCTAAATTTGGAAGTTTGTAGTCTTAGTGCTCACCTCCATCAAGGGTCTTCGCCAGATCTGGAAGTTCACCGTTGTACGTTGTCCTTGCTCGTCTATGGCTGGTGTCTCCGGATCTGACTCGGATGCGATCACACCCCAAATCTGTTGTGGCCAAGGCTCCAATCTGGACACAACCATGGCTCTAAGGTCTAACGCGCCATGCACCGTAATTCCAGATCTAGACGCGACTCTATCATGGGTATGGCTCCAAGGTCTGTTGCTGCCATGGCTCCGCGATTCCAAATCTAGACATGGCCATGGCTCTAGATATGTCGCGGCCACGCTGTGCGGAAGGAAACTCGTGCTGTTTTTTTTTTTTTTTTTTGTCTAAATCGTAATTTTTCAACTCACTTTCAGACTTTTGCTCTGCCTCTTTGAGTCAAAATCAACGTCTGAAACTAAACGTTCTCACCCTAGCCTTTGAGAAGATGTGAATCAAATTCCCCACTTCTCCCTTCCTATTTCTCTCTTCCCAAATAAGAACGGTGTGGCCACTAGGGCAAACCCCAATAGTCAATACGTGTTGGTTGAGTCAAAGAGGGAACTTGTCGGACATAACTCGAAGGGAGGACAACGAAAGGGGACACCAGGGAGTGAGACTTCGTGACTATTCAAGGCGGAGGAAGGGAAGTCGTTGTAGCAACCATGGTGGGGAAGTGGGGTGTCGGAGATGGAGGTTACCGCCCCCTGAACGGTGGATGGAGACGGTTGGTGGGCATAGCCACGGTGGGCGGAGAGATGGTGGCCGTGATGGAGATGAAGAGAGAGAAAATCATATTTTTAATTTTTTTCATAATCGAGACGCGTGTCAATTTTTAATTACACAAACTCGTTAGCTTGGTGAGGTGACACTCGCAAACCGCTGAATATTTTCTAGCCGTGGGAGGGTGTCGCTTAGCTCTCTGTGGACACTAGACGGCGACTCTATTTATTTTATGATTTTTCCTTTCTCACGAGTTTGTAAAGTTATTTTGTGAGTTTGCGTGTGATATGAAACACCACTTCCGCACTACTTAAATGCCACATGAGCTTTGATGATATACGAATATATTATTTTTCTTGAGAAATGACATAACCGATCTTTGAATTTTTATTCGATGTTCAATCTAGTCTTTGAATTTTTCTTTTTGGTTTAATGTAATCCGTGTGGTCTTAATTTTCAGTGCATTGTAATCCTTCCGTTAAGCATAGCGCCACGTCACCTGTTTTTTGGTTGACTTGGACCGCCAAAACAGCATGGCAGGGACATAGTTATGTTTTGCGGACATCCGCGTCATTTTTATTTTCCCAAATTGGAATTTTTTTATGTGTTTTTTTTCTTTTACTTCCTTTTAGTTTTTATGTTTTACTTCATTTTAGATTTTAGTTTATTTATTTATTTTTTCTTTTCTTTTCAATTCTTCTTCCTTTCTCTTCTGTTATAGACAACAAAGGGACCAACATCAACTCCGCCCGCGACCGGCCTTCTGCCGCCTTCTCGCCGCCATCCCAGGAGGCCCATCACCACCGTGCCGCCTTCCACCTCCACCACCACCACCACCATCCTTTGAGCCCCCTATGTCTCAATCTAAGATTTGAGGGGCGCGGTCTGAAATCCAAGGCTGTCCCGCGTAGACCTAAGGTTGCAGCAATCATCCCCTCACATCTAAAGCCGCCATGACTTAGAACTAGTTAATTCGATCCGATAAAAAATTAATCCGAGAGTTTTGTCGAATCATAAATTTGAAAGGATAAAAATTTCTAATGCAATTGGTTTTCCCTATCGATTCGATTTGAAAAAGAGCGAGTAGATAAACTTAATCTTACGGTTCAATTTTCTTGTTAGGAAAAGTTATCCATGAGAATTACAAAGGACAATTCAATATATTTCCCATTAATTTGGATTTCTGAAGATCCGGTTTTCCTCAGCAATCACTCGATCTTCCGGTCTCCAACACATGATTGGAGCTTTGGTAGACATTCCCGAAAAGGCTAAAGTCCGTATCGAATGAGTGGTTCTTTTGGAAAGATGGCTAGATTGATCAACCATACTTTGCACATTATTGTCTACGGAGCCGTTTCCGATGCCGAAAAAGTACCCTTGATCCTTGTTTGGTGAAGTCCGCCTCCACGTTAAATAGGAAATGAACTAAATTTCTACGTTCTCAAAACTTAGTTTGATTCCACATTTGTCTATATCAATATAGTTTATCTTTGAAATGTACGGGCTTTTTGACGGCACTATACTCGGTCCCGAGAACAAATCATTAGCTAGGGAAGAAAGAAGGTCCACCTTCTTTGGTTGTCTTGTCCCGAATTGGTTGTCTCGTCGCGCACGAAACTTTTGGCGGATATTTTACTTTTTGATGGGAACGGACTTTTTTCCGAAATAACGAAATTTCACTATTACTGACCAAAAAAGAGAAAGAAGGAAGGTTATCTTCGTCCATGCATTCTAATCGAAGCAATTTGGCTAGAGGTCTCACCAAAATCGCTAGCATAATGGGGGCATTGCACATGGCATTGTTCCATCAAATGTTAACAAAAGTGGGCCTAGACTAATGTGGTCCACATCTAAGAAAAAGGGTGAATCGTATGTGCTAGGAATATCTTCCATCCTGTAGCCAGGCAAAATAGAAAAGAAGAAAGATCACCTTTTCGCTTTCCGAGAATTTAAAGGCCCCAATTTCCGTCAATTATATGTTTCAATAGAAAATTCTTACGTGGGAATTTCTCAATTTTCTGTTTTGATTCAATTGACAAAGAGGTAAGGGGGGGTGGGGGAAATGCTTTTGTGGGTTCGATCCCATAAATCATGAACGAGAAAATTATCTAATTGGTATCGATTTAATCCTAAACTTTTTAATTTTGCTGATTTAGTCCTAAACTTTTGCACGGAGTTTCAATGTAGCCATTCTAACAAATTTTCACCGGAAATTGCCGATATGACGGTCCAAGTCATCGCCGGCTAGGTCAGCGATTTCCGGCAAGAATGTATCGGAATTTCATGCAAA